AAGGGTATATAAAGCCATTGGGAAACGCAGAGGCCAACGGAGTGCCCTAGGGTGCGTACATGCCCCCTAGGCTTCTAGGCCCTTGGGCGCCTACAAAAGACTTCTAGGCACCCTGGGCCTCCCCATGTGGTGAGCCTTGGCCCCTTGGTCCCCAGGTGTAGGTACCACTCAATGACATCATCATTAACCGTGACACCACTAGTAGAATTGCGAAATGGGCCATCGAGCTATTGCCTTTCGAAATAACTTATCGACCATGGCGGGCCATTAAATCCATGTACTGGCCGATTTCACGGCCGTGTGGATAGAGGCCGAGCTCCCTCGAGAGCACGACACCTACTCAAATTTGGTAATGTATTTTGATGGATCGAAATTGCTCACCGGGCTAGAAGCAAGAGTTGTACTCACGTCACTAACAGGCGACACTATTAAGTACATACTTCAAATCATGTACATCGACTCAAACAACATGGTGGAATATGAAGCACCGCTTCACAGACTGAAGATGGCAGTGTCCATGAGCATCAAGCGTCTTGAGGTCCGAGGTGATTCCAACCTTGCAATCTCCCAAGTTAACATGAATTGATGCAAAGGATCCAAAGATGGCGGCATATCAAAACATTGTCATGACTTTATCAGCTCGATTCGAGGGCCTCGAATTACACCATATCCAGAGAGACAACAATCAAGCTGCTGACATGCTCGCCAGGACGGGTGTCGGACGGGAGCTGGTACCCCAAAACACTTTCCTTGAACGATTGTTTAAACCTTCGGTCAAGTGGCAAGGTAAGGTCGTGGAATTCGAGCCCGAACTAGTCACCATATTGGCCATAGAGCCACATGAGGAGATAATCCGGGGTTATGCAAAGAAGGAAACCTCCTCGACCCATGAGACAACGGCGTGACTGCACCCTAGAATGAGCAAATACTTGCGTACTCACTGCACAAGGAGCTTCCCGAAGATCAGGCCGATGCACGATAAATCGTTCGACGATCGAAAACATATAAGGTCCATGAGGGAGAACTATACAAATGCAGAGTCACTGGCACTCTCCAATGGTGGATCTCCGAGGAGGAAGGACAAGAACTCCTCTCGAAAATTCATTCCAGAATGTGTGGCCATCACGGGCACCTCGGACTTTGGTTTCCGATGGACGAGAACTTGTAGATGCATGCGTGGGCTGTCAGCTCTTCGCCAAACAAAGCGGCATGCCAGCCACAGCTCTAAGAACCATCCCGATCACCCGAATATGTGAGCCGTACGATGTGTGGAGTCATATTAGAACATTAATGTAACAACAACTGCATTTGAATAGCACTTGACCTGGATTTTTTATTTTTATTTTCACAAAAAAGGAGCCGGATCTGTTACAGAAGTTCACCAGAATACACTACTCAAAATATAATAAAAATTATACCTCTGTTCCTGGACCACCGAACGTCACTACCACCGCTAGATCGTGTCCCTGATGCGTCGGTGTCGTTGCTACCGTAACAGATCCCCTCCTGATCTTATCGATGATAGCAAAGAAGTCTTCGTGCATGTTCCCCTAAGGACAAGTGCCCCTAGAGCCATCATCATCGCCGTTGAGCCCTTGAGTTGATCCGAATCGCCTGGCAAGATCTCGCCACCGCGCATGCACGACGAAAAATCCTAACCTCGCCGCCCCAAGGAGACTACATGAATATACTCTCTCCGTCCTTTGAAGAGTGCAATCCAACTTTGTTGGAAAGTCAAAAAAAATTATGCTTGACCGTATTTATATAATAATGCACCAACATTTATGTCATCAAATTAGTATTCATGATAAATATATATTTTCATCATATACCCATTTGGCTTCATAAACATTAAGATATTTTTGTGCAAGTTCGGTCAAAGGACTCAGATCTATTATAAAAGTTAACGGGCGTACACAATACTTCAAAACATAATAAAAATGACGTCAAGGTTCCTGGCCAATCGAACAACAACTACCACCGCTAGAACGAGTCCTCGACACGTTGATGCCGCTGCTATCCTGCCGGATCCAGCCACACCTTGTTGACACCGCTACCCTGCCAAAACCGTCCTGCCCATGCATGTCGATGACAGACAGGAAATCTTCGTGCACGTGCTTCTAACCGTAGCCAAGGCGCCGGGATTCCCCTCCTCGCCATCTGCCATCTGAGTGGTAGACGGAGAGGAGACGAATCCACAGGCTGGTGAGCGGAGCCTGGAGGGGACACGGTCTTGGCCCCAGCCGTTGTCGATGGAAAGGAAAGCACGTGGAAAGACGATTCTATCGACTGTCGATTCTATCAACAATTAAGCCAAGTGCTCCTGTCCGCTTCGTCACTGCAATGCCTTCTTCCACCTTGGCTTCTTTGGCCTTCCTCGTCTGTGCGGCCAGCTTGTTCAGCCTTGCTGCCGGGGAAACTGCTGCCGCTGGAGACGATCCATCGTCATGCTATGCGCGGGACGCCACCGGCACCGTCATCACCTACAGACCCTGCGACCCGACGTGCATCGCCTTCGATAACTACACCACCGGCAGCGCCTACGAGCGCAGTCTCCTCGGTCTCCTCTCCGAGGTCCCGGCCAACGCCACGCCAAGTGGCTTCTTCAAGGGGACTGCCGGGTCAGGGCCGGAGGACACGGTGTTCGCGCTCGCTACGTGCCAGGCAGACTTACCGCCGGCGCAGTGCCGCCGGTGCCTCCAGTCAGCGTCGGCCAACCTCACCGGCTACTGCCCCCACAGCAAGACGGTCATGGCTGCCTATGTCGGCTGCATGCTCCGCTACTCCGACCAGCCGTTCTTCGGCGTCGCCGGTACCGACCTTCTGTTCTACGACGACGTCACGGATGCCGGCATCCTCGGTCGCGACCAGGCGGCGTTCAGCCGCGTGCGCGCGGCGCTGTTGGACGTGCTGCGCGGTGCCGCGGCCGCGTCGCCCACGCTGGCCGCTGTGGGCAATCAGACGTACAACGGCACGCACCGCCTCTACGGGCTGTCGCAGTGCACCGAGGACCTGGCCGGCGGTGAGTGCTCCCGGTGCCTGGTGGAACTGGCCACGTATCTCCCGGCGCCGGGTGCACGCCCTGGACCGGACGACGTGCCATGGACGGAGGGAGCGTCGGCGAAATCTTACAGTTGCTATATTAGGTACAACGTGCGCCCTTTCTTCGTCTCTGACATTGCTCTGCTCTCTCCAACGGCGATTTCACCTCTCAGTCCTCCTACAACGACTACTTCCAAAGGTACTGCCTTGAACTACTCGTTAAGGAGCTATGAAGCACAGATACGGCGATACTGGTACGGCGATACGGGATATGGCAATTTCTAGAAACATCAATACGGCGATACAGCGAGTATATATAAATAATTAATAAAATGACATGTAATAAAAACAAACATAATAGAATAGAATGTGTGATTTAACATAATAGAATACACCGATACACCAGTTATGGCCGTATCGGTGCTTCATAGTTAAGGAGTTCATTTGCTGACAGAAATATGCAAGATTTAACTTTGAAATTACTTCAGGAAACAGGATAAAAGCAGGAGTGGTGATTGCTATTGCTCTTGGCATTGTGGTTATCTTTCTTCTGTCCATACTCATCGTGTATCTGTGGAGAAAAGCAAGACCAACACAATGTGAGCTATATGCATGCCTTTTAATTTCTATCAATTATCTATCACAAAGTATAAGTTAGATCAATTATCTATCATTATTTTATCTTTTATTATTTTGCCGAAAGGATAAGTTTCACTTATGTTCGAAAAACTTATTAAATAAATATATGACTGTGTGCGTGGCAATGATAAATAAATAAATAAATTATGTTTGAAAAAATCATCAAATTCTGTTCAATTGGCATGCATAAGCCATTTCTGATTAGAACCTTCTTTCCTAATGAAGCATCATCTTAATCCTCCAAAATAATACATACATGACCAAAAGATAAAATTATATTTCAAGACACAAGGATCTGAACTTTTTTCTATGCAGATGACGAGAAAGATGATGACGCTGGATCAGTTCTCTTTGACCTCCCCACGTTACGAAAAGCAACAGGAGATTTTGCCGAAGAGAACAAACTAGGGCATGGAGGCTTTGGCGCAGTGTACAAGGTACAGTAAGTAGTACTAGTATGTTAATACTATGATCTTCTAGCTCATTATCTTAAGAATTTAATTAACATTCAATTTTCTTTTGGCAATCTAAGTATTTAAGGCCACTCAGTTTACCATCATCTCAGTAGGTACTATTAATATGGCTATACCTTTTCTTTTACCACACCAGATCCTTTTTTTTTTCCTTGTTTTGGACAGTACACAATGTCTAGTGGTCAATGACTTTTTTTTATTGTTTCTTCACAACAAACAGTAACTGTACAATGTTTGTAGGCTGGTTTCCACAAAAGATGTTGGGTCAGTTGACCCCACAGCTTGTACGTGGCGCACCGCCATTGACAATGTCCAACAAACACCGTTACTTTTTATAATTATATCTCAGTACTATTTATTTAAAATATAATTGTATGGAGGCACTGATGTAGCATATTTAGAAAATTTCCCTTCATAAAAAATTGATGTAGCAAATGTACTAATGCCAAATGGAAATACTTTTCTTAAAATAAAATGGATATACTTTTGTGTATAGTAATTGAATGCCAAATATGTGAACCGAAACGGAGGTTATAATTAATCAAGTTCAACTGAATTTGCCGCCTAAAAAAGAAGTTCAACAGAGTTTTTGTGATCTGAAAATCAAGTGGAACCATTTTCATTGGTTTGTTCAAAGCAGCACATATAGCATCTGCTACTTATTTTCAGGGGTCCCTGCCAAATGGACGTGAAATAGCGGTCAAAAGACTAGACAAGGCTTCAAATCAAGGCATACAGCAGCTGAGGAACGAACTCATATCGGTGGCCAAACTTCGGCACAACAATCTCGCAAAGCTTATCGGTGTTTGCTTGAAGGGACAGGAGAAGCTGCTCGTGTACGAGTACATGCCTAATAGGAGCCTGGACACCTTCCTCTTCGGTATGACTTCACAAAAAAAAAAATCTGCATCTTTTCTTTCCCCAGCTACAAAAGAAACATGGCTGATAATAGCTTGCATATATATACCTGCAATTATGTAGAAGCTGGGAGACGTAAATTACTAGACTGGGGAGCAAGGCACAACATCATCCACGGCACGGCAAGAGGCCTCCTCTACCTCCACGAAGACTCTCTCATAAAGATCATACATCGAGACCTCAAGGCGAGCAACATCTTGCTGGACGCTGGCTTGACCCCCAAGATCTCGGACTTCGGTTTGGCAAGGCTTTTCAGCGGCGATAAGACTTCCAGCATCACAAGCCAAGTCGTCGGGACACTGTAAGCTAGCTCAACAGATTTGCCATATGATCTGGACAGAGTCTGACCTGAGCACGCATCCGGCTGATCTAAAGAAACTCCTCTATCAATCTGCAGAGGTTACATGGCGCCGGAGTACGCGGTGCTTGGCCACTTGTCGGTCAAGCTAGACGTCTATAGCTTTGGTGTCCTGGTACTGGAGATCGTGTCAGGGAGGAGAAGCACCGATTTGTTGAAATCCATGGAACACGAAGAAGAAGAATCCATCACTTTGCTGAGCTACGTGCGTACATATGTTTCACTGCTTAACATAGAGAATCCTTGGCTAAAATGCCAGCATGCTAATCATTAATCAACTACAGTTATGTACTTACTTTCTGTGGTGATGAACTATAGGTGTGGGCTAACTGGAGTAGAGGAACGCTACTGGAGATCTTGGATCCGACGCTGGATGGCCAGGCCGCAGAGAGGGAGGCGCTCAAATGCATCCACGTCGCGCTTCTCTGCGTCCAGGCTAACCCGGCGGATAGGCCCACGATGTTGGGCATCCTCGTCATGCTTCAAGGCGAGATTTCCGACTTCCCGGTGCCGTCAAAGCCTGCATTTACTTTTTCAGAGAGTGAGATGATGATGAGCTCCGGAGGTCTAGGTAGCCATCGAGAGCTTGCGATTTCTGTAAATGAGATGTCCCACTCTGAGTTCCAACCGAGGCAGTAATTTCAAGCATAGATTGGCGACGATCAATAGTTTTGTAAAAGTAACCACGTTAGAATAATCCTAGTGCTTAAGCATTTTTTGGTTTGCAGCAAACTGTTTATTTTGTCTAGCAAGTGGCAACACTAGAACTTGCACGGTTCAGCAGCTACCTACCTTCAGAGAAAGCAAAAGATAAAATGTTCTCCTCGACCACACTTTTTTGTATTCGGCTCACATGATAATCTCCATTACATGAAAAATCATATAAAGCCGAGTATTGAAAATACTCAGCGAATGCAAATTTGACCTCCGCTTGCTATAAGCCGAGTGTTGCACCCGGCTTAGAACACTCAGCTTATATTGAACCGGCTTATAGGGTGTAAGCCGAGATCGTATTCACGGGCGCGGCACTCGTCTTACCTATAAGCCGAGTACAAAAAAGAGGTTTTTAGCAACATAAAGCAGTATGACGGTCGGCCGACGTTAACGGAAGTGCCATGTGGCACCTCTCTAAGCCAAGTGTACCTGGTCGGCTTAATTTTCCATCCCAAAACAATCACATGCCACCATGTGTCCAATATAAACCAAGTACATATACATTACGCACGGTTTCCGTGTAAGCTGAGAACCTTGCCCGCCTATCGGTTTATATATAAGCTGTGTTCTGTGTTCGGAATTCTTCTCATGTCTGGAGCAATCAGGTGCAGCCACATGGCCATCGTAAGCCGAGTGTTTGTGCGCATGCAAACGGCGTAAAGGTAAGCTCCCACGGAAACTAGGCAGTGTCATTTGGTCTTGGGAGCTTCCAGGGCCTGACAGGTGGCATGTAAGCCGAGATCCCCACTCGGCTTACCTGTGTAAACCAGGTACAACATTGGGCTTATAGGACATTTTGCTTTTTTTTAGTTTGCTTGTTGAACCAACCGTGCAATTTATACAACAATATATAGAGAGATATCCAAGATGTCCAGCAAGCAATATAAACAGATTCATAACCATATGGAACCATACTAGGTCACAACCATATACAACAATACAAGTTCACAACCATATGGAACCAAGCATGAGTTCCATGTTCACACATGCATACATATCCAACAAGTTCACAACCAAAAGCATGCATACATATCGAACAAGTTCACAACCAAAAGCATGAGATCCAAATTCACACCAAGCATGTCTTCAAACTTCACAAATACGAGTAACATAAAGTTCACAACCAAGTCAACTTAGGATGAAAGATGCAATGAGCTCCACCGCTGAGAACATAACATGTACGCCCACCGTCGACGGCATCCACGATGCAAACCTACAAGTTCATTACCACAAGCATAATTTTCCAAGTTGGAAATGTAAACAGTCGGTAAGGCAAAAGAATCAACAAGCATCAATAAGGTTCAAAGTGAGGCTCTACCATAAACAAGTATGAAAATAGAAGCATCAATAAGGTTGAAATTGAAACTAAGAAGTATGAAAATAGAAGCATCAATACTTGTGCGCTCTACCATCTCTAATGCATAAACACACTATACATCAATAAGGCACAAACATGAGTTTCCATGTTAAAAGTGGGGCTAGATTAAGATTTCTGACATTCTCATGGGGTTAAGGCAAATATTTACAAGTTGAGAAGAACAATCGTTGACAAGCATAAGCATAAGTAGTAAGGTCAAAAGCACAAGCAACGACAAGGAACAAGCTTTGACAAATACCTGGATTGGTCATTGTTGCCTGGAGGTTGAAGCGCCATGGGCCATAGTGGGGCTTGTTTTCCCAGCTGTAGATCCACCTACCGACATGTTGTTGGATCTAGCTGACTGAGGGATCTGTATGTTGGGGAACGTAGCAGAAATTCAAAATTTTCCTACGTGTCACCAAGATCTATCTATGGAGAAACTAGCAACGAGGGAAGGAGAGTGCATCTACATACCCTTGTAGATCGTTAAGCGGAAGCGTTCATGAGAACGGGGTTGAAGGAGTCGTACTCGTCGTGATCCAAATCACCGGAGATCCTAGTGCCGAACGGACGGCACCTCCGCGTTCAACACACGTACAGCCCGGTGACGTCTCCCACGCCTTGATCCAGCAAGGAGAGAGGGAGAGGTTGAGGAAGACTCCATCCAGCAGTAGCACAACGGCGTGGTGGTGGTGGAGGAGCGTGGCAATCCAGCAGGGCTTCGCCAAGCACCGCGGGAGAAGAGGAGGAGGAGAGGCAGGGCTGCACCAAATAGAGGGAGAAGTGCTCATGTATCGGGCTGCTCCAAAAACCTCCAATATATATAGGGGAAGGGGAGGGCTGCGCCCCCTCTAGGGTTTCCACCCCCTAGGGGTGGCGGCCAGCCCTAGATGGGTTTTGGGGGGGCGGCCAAGAGGGGAGAGAGGGGAGGCGCCCACTAGGTGGGCCTTAAGGCCCATCTGGACTAGGGTTTGCCCCCTCCCACTCTCCCTTGCGCCTTGGGCCCCTTGTGGGGGGCGCACCAGCCCACCTAGGGGCTGGTCCCCTCCCACACTTGGCCCACGCAGCCTTCTGGGGCAGGTGGCCCCACTTGGTGGACCCCCGGGACCCTCCCGGTGGTCCCGGTACATTACCGATATCGCCCGAAACTTTTCCGGTGACCAAAACAGGACTTCCCATATATAAATCTTTACCTCCGTACCATTCCGGAACTCCTCGTGACGTCCAGGATCTCATCCGGGACTCCGAACAACATTCGGTAACCACATACAAGCTTCCTTTATAACCCTAGCGTCACCGAACCTTAAGTGTGTAGACCCTATGGGTTCGGGAGACATGCAGACATGACCGAGACGTTCTCCGGTCAATAACCAACAACGGGATCTGGATACCCATGTTGGCTCCCACATGTTCCATGATGATCTCATCGGATGAACCACGATGTCAAGGACTCAATCGATCCCGTATACAATTCCCTTTGTCTAGCGGTATTGTACTTGCCCGAGATTCGATCGTCGGTATACCGATACCTTGTTCAATCTCGTTACCTGCAAGTCTCTTTACTCGTTCCATAACACATCATCCCGTGATCAACCCCTTGGTCACATGGTGCACATTATGATGATGTCCTACCGAGTGGGCCCAGAGATACCTCTCCGTTTACACGGAGTGACAAATCCCAGTCTCGATTCGTGCCAACCCAACAGACACTTTCGGAGATACCTGTAATGCACCTTTATAGCCACCCAGTTACATTGTGACGTTTGGTACACCCAAAGCATTCCTACGGTATCCGGGAGTTGCACAATCTCATGGTCTAAGGAAAAGATACTTGACATTAGAAAAGCTTTAGCATACGAACTACACGATCTTTGTGCTAGGCTTAGGATTGGGTCTTGTCCATCACATCATTCTCCTAATGATGTGATCCCGTTATCAACGACATCCAATGTCCATAGCCAGGAAACCATGACTATCTGTTGATCACAACGAGCTAGTCAACTAGAGGCTCACTAGGGACATATTGTGGTCTATGTATTCACACGTGTATTACGATTTCCGGATAATACAATTATAGCATGAATAAAAGACTATTATCATGAACAAAGAAATATAATAATAACACTTTTATTATTGCCTCCAGGGCATATTTCCAACAGTCTCCCACTTGCACTAGGGTCAATAATCTAGTTCACATCACCATGTGATTAACACTGACAGGTCACATCACCATGTGACCAACATCCAAAGAGTTTACTAGTGTCATTAAACTAGTTCACATCATCATGTGATTAAGACTCAATGAGTTCTGGGGTTTGATCATGTTCTGCTTGTGAGAGAGGTTTTAGTCAACGGGTCTGCAACATTCAGATCCGTATGTACTTCGCAATTCTCTATGTCATATTGTAAATGCTGCTTCCGCGCTCCACTTGGAGCTATTCCAAATGGTTGCTCCACTATACGTATCCGGTTTGCTACTCAGAGTCATTCGGATAGGTGTTAAAGCTTGCATCAACGTAACCCTTTACGCCGAACTCTTTATCACCTCCATAATCGAGAAACATATCCTTATTCCTCTAAGGATAACTTTGACCGCTATCTGATGATCCACTCCTTGATCACCTTTGTACTCTCTTGCCAGACATGTGGCAAGGCACACATCAGGTGCGGTACTTAGCATAGCATACTGTAGAGCCTACGTCTAAAGCATAGGGGACGACCTTCGTCCTTTCTCTCTTTTCTGCCGTGGTCGAGCTTTAAGTCTTAACTTCATACCTTACATCTTAGGGAAGAACTCCTTCTTTGACTGATCCATCTTGAACACCTTCAAGATCATGTCAAGGTATATGCTCATTTGAAAGTACCATTAAGAGTTTTTGATCTATCCTCATAGATCTTGATGCTCAATGTTCAAGTAGCTTAATCCAGGTTTTCTATTGAAAAACACCTTTTCAAATAACCCTATATGCTTTCCAGAAATTCTACATCATTTCTGATCAACAATATGACAACAACATATACTCATCAGAAATTCTATAGTGCTCCCACTCACTTCTTTGGAAATACAAGTTTCTCATGAACTTTGTATAAACCCAAAATCTTTGATCATCTCATCAAAGCGCACATTCCAACTCCGAGATGCTTACTCCAGTCCTTAGAAGGATTGCTGGAGCTAGCATACCTTTTAGCATCCTTAGGATCGACAAAACCTTTCTGATTGTATCACATACAACCTTTCCTTACGAAAGTTGGTAAGGAAACTCGTTTTGACATCCATCTGCCAGATTTCATAAATGCAGCTTATGCTAACATGATTCCGACGGACTTAAGCATCGCTGTGGATGAGAATATCTCATCGTAGTCAATTCCTTGAACTTGTGAAAAACTCTTCGCCACAAGTCGAGCTTCGTAGATGGTGACATTACCATCCACGTCCGTCTTCTTCTTAAAAGATCCATTTATCTCAATGGCTTGCCGATCATTGGGCAAGTCCACCAAAGTCCATGCTTTGTTCTGATACATGGATCCTATCTCGGATTTCATGTCTTCTAAACATTTGTCGGAA